GTCCGCCTGATATCGGGTCGTTATGGTAAATTGTCATGAGTTTAAGTTTCTTGTCGTCTTCAGTTATTGTTTCCACAGGGTCTGTTAGTATAATTTTTAAAGATTTTAAAACTTTATTTCCACTAACTTTTAAGTCTGTAATCGAAAATTGTTCAAAGAATTAATCATTTTTTTGCCATTCAATTTGGTGTTGAAGCCTCAAAAGTAGCTCATCTAAATTCGCTATTTTGTTAACAACCTCAAAATTAATCAACTCGAGTTTTCTATGTTTTAAATGCGCATATATTTTAATACTTGAAATTTCATCATTTTTATCGTAAGTAATTTTGGTTTTTATCCGTGGAATTTTTTTTGAAAAAATTGTAAGAAAATTTGTCGTAAACTTGTACTGTGGAGTTATTTGTGTGATTTGCTTCGTACTGTGGTTGCATTTCTACGTTTTGTTTTGTCATCGATCTAGTTTTTACTGCTAAAATATGTTTTGTTGTGTCTGTAAGTTCGTCAATTGTGATTCGTGATAGTGCTTCCGAACCAACGTTTGTTTTGCCTTTTATATATTTGGGGTATTCACAACGGTATCGTAAGTGTCGTATCGTTGTATGTCGTAAACTTTAAACGTCTAAGAAATATATTAAGGGAGTTCGCAAAGTACCATCAAAGTCATATTATGATTTTTTGTAGTGCTAAAAAAGAGTTGGTTGACGTTTCAAGTTTTCTAAACATTTATTTAAGCTTTTAAAGTTTACAACGTACAACAATACGACACTTACGACACCGTTGTGAATCGCCCAATTGTATTGTAAAATTGTATTCCGAAAGTTCCAGTCTTATTCGCGAGAGTTTTGACGACGGGTCATTCATATTAAAAAGTTAAACTAATGGTCGGTGATCAGATTTTACAGTAAAGTGTGTGCCATAAACGTATGGTCGAAATTGCTTGATTGCGAAGTATATTGTCAAATTCAGCACGCGAAGTTTGCTGCGATGAAGGCAGTGGCAGTGAATTTAGAATTTGGGCTAAACTGAGCAGTACTGCCAGCTGCCACTGCTGTATTGTGAGTCGCTTCTTAGAAGCAAAACAAATTGATAAGTCGTTGCCGTTGTGGTTTTGGCTTAAAATTGCACCGCACCCGGGTTTGAGATCGACTGTAATTATGAATTCTTTGCTAAAATTAGGATACTGTAAAAGTTTAGGAGACATCAAAGAAGATTTAAGTTCAAAAGCTTGCTCTCAGGAGTTATCCCATTTAAACTCTACATTTTTTCTGCTCAAACGATTTAAGGGTGCTGCCAGAGAAGCAAAGTCAGGTATAAACCGTCTATAATAGTTTGCAAACGCCACGAACCTTCGCACTGCGTCTTTATCGCATGGCTTTGTGTACTTTTTAATGGCTTCTTTTTGTATCATCTGGCAGTAGACCTCTTGCTGAGCACTTGTGTCCTAAGAAAGTTACCTCAGATCGTAGAAAATTACATTTATTTGGCAATGTTATTGTGGCTTGTTAACATTTTATCTTTAAGATTTTTATTGAGGGTTGTACCACGATTGTTTATTAGGAAAAATTGAAAGAGCAACAAAGTC